GAAAGAGAGAAATGAGATCACTTGCTCGCGGTTATAAGAACAGCTCTACATTATTTTCTGCTCTTTTTATTTCTCTTTTCTTTCTCTCTCTCTCTCTCTCTCTCTCTTCATGCTTTTCTTTCTCTAATTAGGACCTCTTTGGAATGAATGTGCTTGTCTCTTTTAGTTTTCATAAATTTCTCCCCATGTACAACTTCAAAATTTCAAGACAGCAGTGTCCTGACCATCACTCCCTGCCTACACCCTAAAAGAAAACTTTCCTAACAGAAACAACAACAAAAAAACTCACAAGAAAAAATAGTAAAATCAAGAGTGTGCTTTGTAGGGCTTTCCAACATAGGAAAGCAAGTTTGGTGGTTTTGTTTGTGTCAGTACTTGGGCTTGAACTCCTCTGGTACTCCTACTCTTGGTTAGCTTTTCTACCCAAGGCTGGCACTCACTACTCACTCACTACTTGAACCACATCTCTAGTCCTGCATTTTGTTGGTTAATTGGAGATAAGAGTCTCTGGCTTCAAACCTTGCTGCTCAGATCTCAGCTTCTGCAGTAGCTAGGATTACAGACATGAACCACCACCTCCCAGCCTGATCTGTTTTAAGACCAAACCTGACTATGTAGCCCTGTCTAACCTGGGACTTGCTACACAGCTCAGGCTACTCTCAAACTCAAGATACTCCTGCCTCAGCCTGTCAGGTGGTTCCTCCCCTAAACTACAGAACTACAGGCTGGTGCCACCATGCCTGACAGAAAACAGTGATTTTCTTTTTCTTTTCTTTTCTTTTTTTTTTTTGTCGGTCGTGGGACTTGAACTCTGGGCCTGGGCGCTGTCCCTCAGCTCTTCAGCTCAAGGCGAGCACCCTACCACTTGAGCTACAACGCCACTTTTCTTTTTCTTTTCTAGACAGCACATCTGTCTCACTGGCTACATTCCTTCACATTCTGTCCCCAAGTTATCCACACCACCACAGAGCTCCAAATACAGTTACATTGTGGCTAACAATGTCTTCCTACTTCTTCTTCTGGTTCTAGAATACACACACTCACACACATATACTTGGTAGTTAAGCATCCATCTTGCATCTGTTCTCACCTCCAGTTAGCTATACAGAAAATATAGGATACAACTGGATATTTAGGCATTACCTTCAAGGGATCAACCTGGGATTCTTGTCATTGATTCTGCTACTGAGAAAGTATTCAGCTGAATTACTTTAAGTAGTTGTACAAAAGAGTTTCATTTCAACAAGTCATATGATAAATACAATGTCTCCTGATCAATGCCACCCTTTGTCTTCCTCGATCTTTCCCAATCCCATTCTGGAATTACTTTAAGATCAGTATAAGAAAGTTGACTTTGATTTTTTTTTTGTTTCATTGGGGATTGGGGATTGGATTTAGGGCCTCATACTTGCTAGGCACTTAAGCCATACACTCCCAGTCCTTTTGCTTTTAGTTTGTTTTTCAGATAGGGTCTTGCCCTTTCCTCATCCACCCCCCTCCCACAACCAGGGCTAGCCTCAGACAACGATCCTCCTACCTCTGCCCTCTATAATTACATGAGTGCACTACCACACAAAGCTCAGTTATGTTACTTCATAGTCACACTTTTTTTTTTAAGCCAAATGCTTGGCTTAAATAAATAAAGACATGTCAACTCTGAGACTGTGTAAACATGTTTATCGTAGATAAACTCCCTGAAGCTGGGCACTGGTGCCTCCCAGCTATAATCCTAGCTCAGGAGGCTGAAATCTGAGGATCATGGTTCAAAGCCAGCCTGCAGGAAAGTCCATGAGATTTTTATCTCCAATTAGTCACAGGAAAAGCCAGAAGTGGTGCCACGGCTCAAATGGTAGAGTGCTAGTCTTGAGCAAAAAGGAGCTCAGGGATAGAGACCAAGCCCAGAGTTGGAGCCCCAGGACTAAAAAACAAAAAACACTCCCCCAAAGCAATCTCCCAAAATGTATAACTCCATGAGTAATGACATCATTAATTACTTACTCAAAATGTTAGCTCTGGAGAGCCAAGATTCATTAGGTTTCAAAAGTACAGGTGTGTATACAAATTATTCATCCTATGGTTTAATCATTCTTGACACAGCAATGAGTAAATCTCTTCCCCATCTCCCTTGCACACAGTACTCATATAGAGTTGATGAATATACCAGTAAGTGTGCTAATTTGCATATCTTCTTTGCATTAAGGCACACAGATTGCATACCTTCCTTCCCAAATACCTAGTATAAGAACTAGAGTCCAGTAACCATCAACTAATACAAGATCCAACATTTACTGACTACTACATATTTAACATGCTCTATTTAATCTGCATTATACCTCTATAAAGAAAGCACTTTTAGCTTTATACATGAAAAAAATAAAAAGCTAGCCAAGCTCTGGTAGCTCATGCCTGTAATCCTAGCTACTTAGGAAGCTGAGATCTGAGGATAACAGTTTGAATTCAGTATGGTCACAGTTTGATTCCATCTGAGCAGGAAAGTCCTTGAGACTCTTAGATCCAATTAACCACCAAAAATCTCCAAGAGGAGATATGACTCCAGTGGTAGATCATCAGTCTTGAACAAAAAAAGCCAAGCAAGAATGCAAGGCTCTGAGTCCAAACCCCAATATCAGCACGTGTGCATGTGGGTATGCTCACATACACACACACAGCTGAAGTAATAATGGGGCTGTGTGTCTATATACACATTATGCCTGCATAGACATATACATATACATCCTGGCTCCCCTCTACAACCAAAGTTACTACAAAGCCTGACTCAAAATCAGGAAGGGTGGGTAATCTGAGCACTCCAAAAGACTCCAGGGCAATGGCAAATCTAGTTCCTCATTTTCAAGTTTTCTAAAATTTAGATTGAGCTAATTATGACCAGGTGCTCTGAATCAGTCAGGGGAAGGGAAGGAGGGGAAAAAAAAGATAAAAGTAGCTGTGAGCCTCAGCACAGAAGAGATGCTTGAAAACGTCCAGAGTAACTTGGATAATTAGAAAAGATGAGGGAAGACAGTATTCTGGGGCCTTTGGCCCTGTGTATAAAGGGCCAAGAGAAGGAAGTGAACTCATCTCCCAGAGCTCTTCAAGTAGAGCAATAATAGATTTTGCTGGAGTGCAGCTGTTCAAATTTTAAAAAAAATTGGTGGTACTTCTATCTTGTCCTAAGGGAGTAAGTAAGGAATGTGGGGACCACATTGAGAGAGGAATCTGCCATCTATTCAAATACCCCAAGACCTTCACATTACTTGAGGAAGAGTTAAGAGAGCTTTGTCTGTGAGAGGGAGATAAAGGTAGAGAGGGAAGGTCCTGGGGTGGAGTGGAGAGATGAGCCAGAAAGTGGGGCCTACCTGCTCGCTCAGGTTCCTCTGCTCTGCACAAATCTCCAGCACACAGTTGCTGGTCTGCTTGGCCAGCTCTTCCAGAAAGGTGTTACAGTGATGAAGACTATGGTTCTTCAGGTGGGGGTACTGTGGGAGAGAACCAAGGGAGAAACTCCCATCGCCATGCTGGTCACACAACACTATTCCCATCCCCTTGCCTGAGCACCCCTCTCTTCACAAAAGAAACAGAGACCAGAAAAACAGAGGATGGGCTTAAGCCTGTGATCCTAGCTCTGCAGGAGGCTGAGATATGAGGATTGCAGGGAAAAAAAAGTCCATGAAACCCATCTCCAAAGAATCACCAAAAAGCCAGAAGTGGAGATGTGGCTCAAGTGTTAGAGCTCCAGTCTTGAGCAAAAAAGCCAAGCGAGAGCTCAAAGCCTCAGCTGAGTTCAAGCCCCAGTACTGGAACACACATGCACATGCGCATGTGCACACACACACACACACACACACACACACACATACACACACACACACACACACAGAGACAAAAGGATATTCTGCACATCAAACTAAGACATTTAGGGAGTTGTATTATTTACTTATGTTTGAACACTTCATGAGTCCAAAATCAACTCCTGGAACTTGGAGTTCAGATTACCCACCTCTTCTGGGCACATCTCATGAGTGCAGTGGACAAAATGAGCACAAATCAGAGGGAAAGCAATGGCATATCGCAACATAGTGGGTTCCTCCAGGGTCATAGTAAACATCTTCTCAAAAGTTCGGAGATGAAAGCTGAGAAGAATAAAGAAAGAGACTTAAAACTAGAGTTTAGAAGTTGGTTCTTTTTGTTCTTCTTTTTCTTTCTTTCTTTCCTTCTTTCCTTCTTTCTTTCCTTCTTTCTTTCTTTCTTTCTTCCTTCCTTCCTTCCTTCATTTCTTCCTTTCTTGTTTGTTTGTTTCATTGGTCCTAGGCCCTGAATTCAGGGCCTGGGCACTGTCCCTGAGCGTTTTTGCTCAGGGTTAGTGCGCTGACACTTTGAGCCCCATCACCACTTCCCATTTTCTGGTGGCTCATTGGAGATAAGAGTCTCAGGGACTTTCCTGCCTGGGCTGGTTTCAAACCATGATCCTAAAATCTCTGCCTCCTGAGTAGCTGAAAATAAAGGCTTGAGCCACCAGGACACAGCTAAATTGGTCCCTTTGAAGTGGAAAAATACTTATTCTTCCAACAGATATTTATGGATATTCACCACTCCCTCCCAATTTCAGTCCCCTCAAGGCAGAAGGGACTCAGCAAGTCAACCCTTCCAGACTTTTATAATGGACACCAGATCAGTTTAGTGATAATCTTTTTTTTCCTTGCATAAAATTTGCTATTTATCCCTTAGAATTTTTGTGTGATTTGAGCCATTCTCTCTAATTTGTAAGTCTTAAATCCACATTCTTATCAAAATTTGATGATTATCTAGGTGCTAGTGGCTCATTTCTGTCTATGATCCTATCTACTCAGGAGGCTGAGATCTGAGATCACAGTTTGAAGCCAACCCAGGCAGAAAAGTCTGTGAGACTCTTATCTTCAATAAACTAATAAAAAGCCAGAAGTGGAGCTGTGGGTCTCATGGTAGAACACTAGACTTGAGTAAAAGAAGCTCAAGGACAGCACCCCAAGCCCTGAGTTCAAGCCCCAGGACCGGCATACACACACAAAATTTTTCTTTTGATGCTTAGCTTCCAGAAAACTGTCTCACATTACTTCCATAAGATGGATTTTAACTCAACCTCATATCACCTCAATTTCATTTACTCTTTTTTGCCTTTTCTTATTCTTACAAGTATTATGCTGATATTCTACTACCATATGGGTATTTATATCTTCCCATTAATAATGCTCACAGAGCAAAAATAACATATTGTATTTGTGTATGTGTGCCAGTATAAAGCTTGAAGTTAGGACTTCTCATTCTCTCTTGTCGTTTTCACACAAGGCTAGTGCTCTACCTCTTAAGCCACACTTCCACTTCCTGCTGGTTAATTGAAGAGTCTCTTGGACTTTTCTGCTTGGGTTGGCTTCAAACCTCAATCCTCAGATCTCAGCCTCCTGAGTAGCTGAGTAGGATTACAGGCATGAGCCACCAGCACCTTGCAACATACTGTATCTTTGTTTGATCCTTCAATGGAATAGTTTTGCACAACAATTGTGGCCATAAATGTTGAGTATTATACATGGAAGACAAACTAAATGTTCACTTTCCCAATATCTCAATTAATTTTTCAGTTATGACCATTAAGCTTCCAAATTTTTCATTTTTTAATTATCTTTTTACAGTTGTACAAAGGAGTTTTAATTCAACCTTTCAATTTATGTGTACAACGCATCAAGATCAGTCTTAGCCCTTCTGTCATCTTCCCCTTGTGTTTCTTTTAAATTATAACATCCAAAAACACTTAAAAAAATACCTGGGGGCTGCGAATGTGGCTTAGTGGTAGAGTGCTTACTTAGCATGCATGAAGCCCTGGTTTTGATTTCTCAGTACCACATAAACAGAAAAAGCCAGAAGTGGCACTGTGGCACAAGTGGTAGAGTGCTAGCAAAAGAAGCTCAGGGACAGTGCCCAGACCCTGAGTTCAAACCCCAAGACTGGCAAAAAATAAACAATTAAATAATTAAATTTAAAAATACCTGAAGAAGTTTCTAAAGATATGGGAGAACCTGTGGGATGAGAAAGGACTGGAAAAAGATGTAGAGCTGAGTTAGCTTCATGAAGGGAAGGCTGTGGAAGGTTTCCTCACATGAACTAATGTGGGAGGAACAAAAAAGGATCAGCTTCAGTCCTATCACTTGGGATGAGTGGGAGAAGCTACCATGGGTGAGCTATAGGATTGAGCATCTGCCGTTAAGATTGCAAAGAAAATAAGATTTTCCTATCTGTCTAGGGGAATTACAGTCCTTATGGGGTAAAGTGAATTAATAAAGAAGTCAACCAGCTAGGCACTGGCTGGTGGCTCATGCCTGTAATCTCAGCTACTCAGATTGAGATCTGAGGATATGAAGTTCAAAGCTAGCCTGGGCAGAAAAATCTGTGATACTCTTATTTTCAATTAGCTAGCAAAAAGTTGGAAGTTGAGAAGCAAAAAAAGCCAAGAGAGTGTGAGGCCCCTGTGTTCAAGACTCAATGTCAATACCACACATACACACACACACACAGAGGAGGAGGAGGAAGAAGAAGCAGAGGAAGAGAAGAAGAAAGAGGAGGAGGAGGAGGAGGAGGGAGGAGGCGGAGGAGGGAACAGGAGGAGGAGGGAGCAGGAGGAGGAGGAGGAGGAATAATAATCTGAACCAGGACGTACCAGAAAGTAGATAGGTCAGAAGTTTCCACCAGCATTTTCTCAACAGAGTCCAGCATTCGGGAATGAAAAACGATGAGGTTCATCACCTTGGCTAAGTCAGGGTTCTCATGCAGGTGGAGAGGAGCCTTCGCCACACTGGTATAGGCCTGTTGTTAGAGGTGGGAAAAAGCACAGAGAAAACAGAGTGAATGAAATGGGGCCACAGCCTTGAGACTATGCCTTGGCTTACATATGTCCTGTCGGTTGCAGTTTTCAAAGTTACTCAATTCTTAAGGCAGAGCTTAGGAAATAAAAAAGGAAGGTAGAACCCAATGATGGGAACCACCAACAAGATCAGACCATTACCTGTAAGCGAAACCAGTCCAGCCTCAATCCAGAGAATTCAAATTCCCCTCCATTATCCACTATGAATAAAACAGAAGTATAAAAGGAAAGGATAAAGCAGTACTTAAAACATAATTTCAAGGAATGATAGGTCTTCTGAAAGATTTTGTCCTATTTCCTGGATCATAGACCAACATTTCTTTTTTAAAAAACACATATATGTGTGTATGTATGTATGTTTGTATGTATGCATTGGGCCAGATGCTAGTAGCTCATGCCTGTAATCCTAGCTACTCAGAAGACTGATATCTATATATCGGGGTTTGGAGACAGTCCAGGCAGGAAAGTTCATGAGGTTCTTATCTCCAGTTAATCAGGAAAAAGCTAGAAATGAGGCTATGGCTCAAGTGGCAGAATACCTTCTTTGCTTTGAGCAAAAAAGCTGAAGGACAGTGCCCAGGCACCAAATTCAAGCTACAATACCAACACACACACACACACACACACACATACACACTAAATTGAGCTTCATAAATACCCTGCAACCCTCACTTCCCTCCAGTTACCTTGCTTGAGGTTCAGAGAGGAAAGGGTACTGACAAATGAGGACATAATGATGGACTCCTCTTCTGGACACACAGACAGGTTCTAAAAGAAGGGCAGGGGTTGCTGTCAATGGGCATAAGTTCCAGGGCGGGAATGAGGACCCCAGGTTCAGTCAGTAGATGAAGGTAGAAAGAAATTACTAAGTGCAAACAACAGAGAAAGAGTCAGGCAAGAGATGAAGGAAATTTCCTGGGATTTCTGCCATGTTAACAATTCATTTCTCTTTATTTTTTCTATTTCTATAAAGTTTAACGTAAGAAAAAAAATACAGCTGGGATTTTTTTTTAATAAATAGCAATAAGGTGTAGCTGGGTGCCATTGGCTCACACCTATAATCCTAGCTACTCAGGAGGCAGAGATCCGAGGATCGTGGTTCAAAGCCAGCCTGGAGAAGAAAACGCTGTGAAACTCTTATCCCCAATAAACCACCAGAAAACAAGAAGTGGCTCTGTAGTAGAGTGGTAAAGCACTAGCCTTAAGCTGAAGAGCTCAGGGACAGCGCTCAGGCCCAAAGTTCAAGCCCCATGATGAAAGAAAGGAAGAAAGAAAGGAGAGAAGGAAGGAAGGAACAAATGAATGAACAAACAGGGGGGAGAAAATGGGGGGAGGAAGAGGGAGAGACGGCTAAGGGTATGCATCTGTAATCTTAGCACTCAAGAGGCTGAGGTAGGAGGATCATGAGTTTGAGGTCATCTGGGGCATAGAGAGATCATGTTTCACCCACTCCACAGAGTATAAGATTCAGCTAGTATGGATCCATGGGGAAAAATCACCAAAATCTAATCAATGGGACACACCTGAATGACATCACTGAGCACAAGAGCATCAAATCTGGCCAGGTACTGAAGATGGTATTGCTGTATCACTTTGATGTGTCTTCGGATCAAAGCCCTAATCCCCTCCAAGAGGAAGAGCAGCTCTGCAATGCTCCTGTAAAGTTGAGGATGAGAACAGAAAGAAGCCTGAGACCAGAAATATGAACTAGAGCTGGACACAGGAGTAACAGGGCAGAAGCTAAGAAATCCTGAGGTTCATGGATGCCTCCTTGCCCTTCCTCCAGGTCCATCCAAGGACAAAGTCTTAACCATGTCAGTACTAACGAGTCGGCATAGTCTTCCGGTGTCTTTGTCTTGGTAACATTTTCTGTATGGCGAACCAGCCAGGTGACCTCATCACGAATGAAGGACAGAGCCATGAAAGCAAATAGGGCCTATGAAGAAGACAGGAACTATTACAATTTTCAACTTTAAAAACAGATATCAAAACACAGGAAAAAACTATGATGCTAATCTGTATAAGGATACAATCCTTATCATCAACAATGTTCAATGATACACAGACCCACAAACCCAACCTTCATGACACAGAAGCAGGTATGTACAGAGGTTGACACTAACTTATAGACCCTCCCCCACCCTCTCTATCAAATTAAATTCTTAGCCAGGCATTTGTGATTCATGTCTGCAATCCTAGCTATTCAGATGCCTGAGATCTGAGGATCCTACTTTGAAGCCAGTCCGGGAAGAAAATCTGTAAGACTCCTATCTCCAAGCAACCAGCAAACAACTAGAAGAGGAGGTATGTCTCAAGTGGTAGGGTACCAGCTTTGAACGAAAAAATTAAGTAAGAGTGCCAGGTCCTGAGTTCAAGCACTAGTACCAACATACACACACACACACACGCACACACACACACACACACACACACACACACAAATAAATTCTAGAAATATTTACTGGTTATTTATATGGGTCAAACAGAAAAGCAAAGACTGCCATCAATTAATTCACATTCAGGTCAAAAACAGGACAAGTTCAAAATTAGTGCATAACATACTATGACAGTGCTGAAAAAGAAACATACAGAATGTCTTGAGTACTGTAAACTTCAAGGAATCTGCATGGACAAATAGATAAGAAATACAAAATCTAGATGAAAGAGAAGGCTGGAAGAAGTGACATTGATTGAGATGCAATGCATTCATACTCTGACTTGTTGAATTGAAACCCCTTTGCACAATTACTTAAAGTTATTTTTTTAAAAAGAAAGAAATGCAAAATCTCCTGAGTGCCAAGTGGTTCCCCATTGCTGCTCATCACTGGTCATCCTCTCCCTCCCTGCATTTCTCTTGCCTTGGGACCCAGAAGTCCTGGCTCATCAGTCAACACGGTCTCCAGTTCCTTCACAGCCATCCGCAGGAACTGGCGTCGTTGACAGTGAAATTGGCCACTGAGGAAGGAAAGTGGAAACTTGAGAATATTGCTGCTCCCACCCTTAAAATTCTCCATGGGCTGGATGCTGGTAGCTCACACCTGTAACCCTAGCTATTCAGGAGGCTAAGATCTGAGGGCTGAGGTTAAAGCAAGCCTGGGAAGGAATATTACAAGAGACTCATCTCAAATCAACCATCAAAAAACTGGAAGCTAAGCTATGGGTCAAGTGGTAGAGCTTGGCATTGAAGGATGGTTGAATGCTAAGGATAGATTGGCAAAGAAAAGGCAAGGATCTGTGGGGCTGCAGCAAGGCTCTTGGATTGAGGTAATGGGTTTCCACAGAAACTTAGCTGGCTTTGAGAAAGGACAGTCTGGTTCCATCCCCTCTCCGAGAGCCCACAGCCCAGCTTTACCTGTTAGTAATGGCATGTTCCTTGCTCTCCTTGATGTCTGCCACTCGTTTGCCATACCTGAAAAATGACACAGCACAGCAGGGTCAGCCATGCCACCAGTGAGGAATTTTATCCTACCTCAGAGATTCCAGCCTTCAGGCTAGGGAGAGCACAGCCCTGCTGACTAGCACCCCTCACCCTTGGCCTGCAAAACTCACACAGTTTCAAGATCATTCTGCTGCAGCTCTTAATTTTTTAGATAGATAATAACTATGATTCTGAATGCTGATGGTTTATGCCTATAATCCTAGCTTCTCATGAGACTGAGATGTGAAGATGGTGTTTCAAGTCAGCCTGGGTAGAAAAGCCTGTGAGACTCCAATTAACTAGCAAAAAGCCAGAAGTAAAGCATGGTTTAATTGACAGAGCACCAGGCATGAGGATAAAAGCTAAAGAATGGTGCCCAGACCCTGAGTTTAAGCCCCAGTACCATCATGAAATAAAATAAAATACTGAAACAAAGATAATAACCAGAAAAAAGGAAATTACTTGCCCAAGTTCACAAAAAGGCTTGAACTTGGGGCCTGGGCACTGTTCCTGAGCTCTTTTGCTCAGGGCTAGCACCCTACCAGTTTGAATCACGGCACCACTTCTGGTTTTCTCATGGTTAATTGGAGATAAGCGTCTCATAGACTTTCCTGCCTGAGCTGCCTTTGAACCATGATCCTCATCTCAGCCTCCTGAGTAGCTAGAATTACATAGATGAGCCACCAGCACCCAGCCCACAGAGTCTTTTTTTTAATATATTTTTTAATGATTTTAGGGATGGGAAGGTGGCTCAGTGGTAGAGTGCTTGCCTTGCATGCATGAGACCCTGGGTTCAATTCCCCAGCACCACATAAGCAGAAAAAGCCAGAAATGGTGCTGTGGCTCAAGTGGTAAAGCACTAGCTTTGAGCTGAAGAGCTGAGGCACAGTGCCCAGGCCGAGTTCAGGCCCCATGACCGACATACATACATAAATAAATAAATAAACATAAATTATTTTATTATCTTTAAGTAGTTTTACAAAGACCTTTCAATTCAACATGTCAATTTATGTCTACAACACATTTTTTAAATTGAGATTAGGTGATTACATATAGCAAAGCTGAGACTGGACTTCTTTTTCCAATCCTGCACTCATTGCTTGAAAGCAGTAAAGCAAGGCACTCTTCTGGTTGGAGAAGGGTGAATAAAGCAGGGCATAAGACTGGATCATGGGGGCGGAGGGTACAATGCAGGTGACTCAAATGGCAGAGTGCTTGCTTAGTGAGCACAAGGCCCTGAGTTCAGACCCTCACTTGACCTTGACAACGCACTGAACTTCATCCATTCTCATACCATCAAACTCCTCCAAAGGAACATTCTTCTTACTCTCTCACCTTTGAAGCTCATAAAGCCTTCAAATACAAAGACAATGCACTGAACTTCATCCATTCTCATACCATCAAACTCCTCCAAAGGAACATTCTTCTTACTCTCTCACCTCTGAAGCTCATAAAGCCTTCAAATACTTAACAAACTGCTCTCTCAGAAGTCAGTGTGAATTGCCAAATTAAGTAGCCTTTTTAATGCTATGGCTTGTCTATAATATTTGGCCATAGTGATTTGTGCTCTATCAATCTGTGCTCAGAATCCCAGCATTACTGTTGACTCTTTGTTCTCTGTGTTCCTTACATATTACCTTCTTTTTTTTTTTATGGTTCTGGTCGTGGGGCCTGAACTCTGGGCCTGGGCGCTGTCCCTCAGCTCTTCAGCTCAAAGCTAGCACTCTACCACTTGAGCCACAGCACCACTTCCGGCTTTTTTTTTGCTTATGTGGTGCTGAGGAATCGAACCCAGGGCTTGTATGCAAGGCAAGCGCTCTACCACTGAGCCACCTTCCCAGCCCCATATTACCTTCTTTTATCATGTATCACTGTTTTTGTTTGGTTTTGGCAGTACCACAGTTTGAACTCAGGGCCTCATGCTTGCTAGGCAAGAGCTCTGTCACTGAGCCACACCTCTAGACCTTTTGAAAAAATATTTTTATTGTAAAGAAACTGTAAAGAGGGATTACAGTTACATGAGTAAGGTGATGAGTACATTTCCTACTGAGCATTATTACCCCCTCCTTTGTTTTCCCCTACCATCTCTTCTCTCCACACCTCCCCAATTCCTCCCCCCCCCAAGTTGTAAAGTTCATTTTCAACGTAGTTTCTTGTACGTCTCATTGTTACAATGGGTTAACCTGTATCTTGTTTCAGCATTTTGTTATTTCCTTTCCCCTCTCTAAATTAGAAAAATGTATGTACAAGATGCAGGGCACCAGAATCAAATACAGTGACAACAGGGGTTATACCATAAGGGGGAGAACATACAAAGAAACAAAAAATCACATAGTACATTAAAAACAACAACAACAACAAAGAAAAAAACCTCTGTGTCCATATCTTAAGGGTCATTTCACCTAGCATCATCTTATGTGGCCATATGAACATATGGTCATGTGTACATATGGTCATATGTACATAGCTTTTGTACATTTGTACATATTTATATAGCTTTGACCTTTTCTGCTTGTCTGGTAGGATTATCCTAGACATATACTAGTTATTGCAAATAAGGGAAAGCATGGGACCTATGATTCTTTGGGTCTGGCTTACTTCACTTATAATTTTTTCCAAGTCTATCCATTTCCTAACAAATGGGGCAATGTCATTCTTTCCGATGGAGGCATAGAATTCCATTCCATTATCTGTGTGTGTGTGTGTGTGTGTGTGTGTGTGTATACATACATACATACACCACATATTCTTGATCCATTCATCTACTGAGGGGCATCTGGGTTGGTTCCATATCTTAGCTATGGTGAATAATGCTGCCATAAACATAGTTGTGCTGGTAGCTTTAGTATGGCCTTATTTGTAATTGTTTGTGTAAATGTCTAGAAGTGGGATTTCTGGGTCATAGGGGAGCTCTATGTGTAGTACTGCTTTCCAGAGTGGTTGAACAAGCTTAAACTCCTACCAACAATGCAGTAGGGTTACCTTTTGGCCACATCCTCTCCACCATCTGTAGTTATTAGATTTCTTGATTATAGCCATTCTAACTGGGGTGAGGGGGAATCTCAATGTTGTTTTGATTTGCATTTCTTTTTTGTGTGTCAGTTGTGGGTCTTGAACTCTGGGCCTGGGCACTGTCCCTCAGCTCTTCAGCTCAAGGTTAGCGCTCTACCACTTGCGCCACAGCACCATTTCTGGTTTTCTGAGTGATTTATTGGAGATAAGAGTCTCATGGACATTCCTTCCCGGGCTGGCTTTGAACCGCGATCCTCAGATCTCAGCCTCCTGAGTAGCTAGGATTACAGGTGTGAACCACCAGCGCTCGGCTTGCATTTTTTTTATGGCCAGAGAAGTTGAGCATTTCTTCATGTGTCTTGGCCATTCTTATTTCCTCTTCAGAGAAATCTCTCTTTAAGTCTTTAGCCCACTTATTAATCCGGTGGTTGTTTCTTGGAGGATTTGTTGTTGTGGGATTTAATTTTTTGAGTTCTAAGTATATTTTGGATATCAGACCCTTGCTGGTTCAGGCCTGGGTATGTGCCTGAGCTCTGAGATGCCAATTTTTATGCCTCCAATTGTAGCTGGTATGACAGGCATACACCATTGTGCCCAGCCTCTTGCACTGACATGAAAGTCTCATAAAGTGTTCTGCCTGGGCAGCCCTGGAACCTATTTTACATTTCCCACTATAACTCAGATAACCAGACTGTATTATGGCACTCAGCTATTGGTTGAGAAGGGGCAAGTGTCTGCCCCAACTGGCTTCATACCTCAGTCCTCCCAATCTCAGCCTCCCAAGTAGCTGATTACAAGTATGAGCCATCCACCCCATACTTTGTCATGCATAGCTGTTGGCACCACATTAGTGGGGCTCCATACCATCTCATTTCCCTTCTCCAAACCAGTCCTTATTGAACTTAGTGCAAAATGATAGAAATTTAGAGTTGAAAAATATCTTAATTAAATTAGGATTCAAATCCACAGCAATCTGAATGGATAATTATTTCCAACATCTATACAGAGCAGGGAAAAGAAATGGGATTAAGAGTATTAAATTTTTTTTTGTTTTACCTCTTATTAAGTGAGGGACATTGAGACTGAATCTCTTGCCTCCTCATTTACAAAAAGAAACTATATTGCACCTGAGTTATTATACCTGATTTGTCATGGGGACCAAATTGGATCATTTATGTCAAAGAACTCCCTAAACTATAAATCATACATACCAGTTGCTGTTCTTAGTGATGGGGAACAACTCTCAAATATTCCTTCCATTCCTTAGAACTAGTAATCATTACCAAGTTTCTTCATATAAATAACCCAAATCCACATTCTGAAACATCCTTTTTTTTTTTCTTTCTGGCCATTTTCGAGACTTGGACTTGGAGGCCTCCCACTCCCTTGGCTTGCTTGCTCAACTGATGCTCTACTACTTGAGCTACACCTCCAGATCTTCACTAGATGAAGTATCTTGGGCTATGCTACCCGGGCTGACTATGAACCATGTTCCTCCAGATCTCAGCCTCCTGAGTAGCTAGGATTATAGGTTTGAGCCACTAGTGCCCAACTCACATCCTAAAACTTCTAATTATTAACTATAGACTTATTCCCTCTTCAAGTCTGGCACTTACATATTTATATAACACATAATTTTTATATAACACATATAATTTATATATGTATATATAAAGTTTGATACATAATGCACAAACACACATACATACACACACACACACACACACACACACACACACACACACACACACACACACACACCGGGAAGATGCATATCAAACTATTTCAGGAGTAAGACTGTAGTCAACTTCTACTTTGTGATCGTCACATTGCTGGATGTTCTATTTGCCACCAGAAATAAGTGCAGGTAATGAAGATATCCCACACATCTTCTTTATGATACAGCTTTCTCGCCTTTCCTTTACAGACTATTAAAGAGTTGTTAAGTTCCTTATCTCTAATTTATTCTCTTTTGTGTTGTTGTTGTTGCAGCTATGGGGCTTGAACTCTGGGCCTGGACACTGTCCCTGAACAATTCAGCTCAAGGCTAGTGCTCTACCACTTGAGCCACAGTGCCACTTCTGGCTTTTTCTGCTTATGTGGTACTGAGGAATCGAACCCAGGGCCTCACGCATGCGAGGCAAGCACTCTACCACTGAGCCACCTTCCCAGCCCCAATTCTCTCTCTTTTTTAATGCCAGTATTAGGGCTTGAATTCAGATCCTGGGCATTTTCCCTTAGCTTTTATTTATTTGTTTGTTTTGGTCAGTCCTGGGGCTTGAACTATGGGCCTGGGCCTGGAGACTGTCCCTCAGTGTTTCAGCTCAAGGCTAGCATTCTATTACTTGAGCCACAGTGCTACTTCCAGTTTTCTTAGTGGTTTATTGGAGATAAGAGTCTCATGGCCTTTCCTTCCTGGGCTGGCTATGAACCACGATCCTTAGATCTCAGCCCCCTGAGTAGGATTACAGGCGTGAACCACCATGCCCCAGCTCTTTAGCTTTTTTTGCTCAACGCTGGCACTCTACTACTTGATCCACAGATCTATCTCTGGTTTTATTATGGTTAATAGGAGATAAGAGTCTCACAGATTATCTTGCCTGGGCTGGCTTCAAACCAGTTGGCCATCCTCAGATCTCAGCCTTCTGAGTAGCTGGGATTATAGGTGTGAGCCACTGGTGCCCAGCCTCCCATTTATTTAAATCTACTGCAACCCTGCACTCATGTGAAGTTGTTCCCCAAAAGATGGTCTTTATAGCCAAATCCATTGAGCATTTTTCAATTGTCCTTGTGTTTGTCCCCATAGCAACATCTAATTTGGATAACTGGACGTTCCCTCCTTTTTAGCTTAATTTAATTTTTATTGATTGATTTATGGCAGTATTGTGGTACGAACTCAGAGCCTCACACCTGCTATGCAAGTGCTCTATCATATAAGCCACTTCTCAGCCCCCTATGCTTTTGACTTTTCAGATAAGTTCCAGGCTAGCCTGGACCTTAATCCTCCTATTTATAACTCATGCATAACTACAGTGACAGCTGTGTACCACCACGCTACTCAGCTTTTTACTGGTTGATATTTGGGGGCTGGGAAGAGGATTGTCTGATGAACTTTTCACCTCAGGCTAGCCTCCAATTGCAATCCTCCCAACCTCAACTATCCTTCCTAGCTAGGATTATAGGCATTAGCCACCATGTCCAGCCTGTTCCTTCTTGCAATGCATTCTTCTCTTCTGTTTTCTCCCTTCTTCTAAATGTCCCCCATCAGTTTCCCTGCCTCTGCCTGGCCCTTTAAATAGCAATGTACCCAGAGGGGAGCCTGCTATTCTTCTCACAATACATATTCTCCTGGAGACTCACACCTACTTTCAGGGTTTTGGTTGTCATGTCACCAATCTTCATCTGCTTCCAAACCTCAGTCCTCAGTTCCCAGACCGCACAGCAAAAGGCCTAACACATCTCCCCTCAGCATCCTCAAGACACTTCAAATTCAACTTCTTCAAAACTGAATTCACAGCCTCTTTCCCACAAACTTGCTTTGGCTCACACCTTCTGTAACTTGAAGGAATGCCAGAGATCCACACTGGAAATTTTGCCATCATCCTATTTTACTTACTTCAGCTCCGCTGCTAGCTTTTCCCATCTAATTTCTCTTTCCCCTGCAGCAGAATGATCTTTTCTAAAATGCAAATATGGTCATCTCAACTGCACAGTTTGAATTCACCCGATGGTTCCCTACAGAGACAGATTCAAACCCCATGACAGAGCACGTGAGGTCCCAACTTCTCTCCAAGCCCATCTCTTCACATCCCTGTCTTGGTAATTCTTGCTCTAAATTATGACCAGCTTTTTAACCCTAGCCATCCTCTCTCTTACCTCCAAAATTTTGCTAGTGTCTGTCTAGAATACCTTTTCCTGTCTTAATCAACTCTTCTGCATTCCACTCAACACACACACACACACACACACACACACACCTTTTACACATACACACCATGCATGCTTCAGCTGTTCAGTTCTAAAGTCTATATATCTCTAGTTTTTCTTGATCCTGAAGGGCCAACTCAGTATCCCTCTGATAGACTGGTTTCTCCTTATATTGCATAAATCTTTTGCTTTCTAGGGGGGAGGTGGAGGGTTGTGCTGGTTCTAGGGCTTGAACTCAGGGCCTGAGTGTTGTCCCTTAATTTTTTGCTTGAGGTTAGGACTCTACCACTTGAATTACAGCTCCATTTCAGGTTTGTTGATGGTTAATTAGAGATAAGAGTCTCACAAAGTTTCCTGCCAGGGTTGGCTTTAAACCCCCATTCTCAGAGCTCAACGTCCTGAGTAGTTAGGATTAGAGGCACGAACCACCGGCACACAGCTCTTTTGCCTTTTTTTTCTCTTTGATCCTTGAACTCAAAGCCTGGTCACTGCCTCTGAGATTTTGTGAATAAGGCTACAGCTCTACTACTATGATACACAGCTCCACTTCTGGCCTTTAGGTAGTTAATTGGAGAAAAGAGTCTCACAGGCTTTCCTGCCTGGGCTAGCTTCAAACCATGATTCTCAGATCTCAGCCTCTTGATTAACTTGAATTACAGGTGTGAACCACCAGCACTTTTTTTTTTTTGGCCAGTCATGGGGCTTGAACTCTGGGCCTGGGCATTGTCCCTGAGCTCCTCAGCTCCAGGCTAGCACTCTACCACTTGAGCCACAGCGCCACTTCCAATTTTCAGGTGTTTAATTGAGATAAGAGTCTCACAGACTTTCCTGCTTAGGCTGGCTTTGAACTGTGATTCTCAGATCTCAGCCTCCTGAGTAGCTAGGATTATAGATGTGAGCCACTGGTGCATGGCTGTTCTTTTGCTTTTTTAAGTATCCTTCTGAATATTTCCACAACATTCTTTGTGTTTACAAGCCATAATCCTTTACCCTATCATAAGAATTTGTCTATTTTTACCAATTTGTAAACTACTTAGACAGGTTTTTTTTTTCTTTTTCTTGCCCAGACTAGCTTCCTGCTTCATCCTTCCAAGAACTGGGATTACATATGTGCTTCACCAAACCTGGCTTGAGACTCCTTTTATTTAACAAGCACATACATGGTGCTTACAAGCTACCAGGAACTCTTAATGTGCACTTTACAAATAGTAATACTTTGATTCTTCATAACCCTAGGAGATCTGTCATAGGAAATCACTACTGTTCTCCACATGTTACAGAAGAGGAGACTGAGACAATGGCATGGAGAAATTAAGTAACTTGCCCAAGGCCACACACCTTGAATTCAAACTGAGACAGTCTGATTTCAGAGTTTATGTGCTTCATCTCTACCGTATCTTATTAAGTCACTATGTTCCTAAGATCCTGAGGAATACCAAGCAAATAATAGGGATTTGAAAAACATTTCTTTAATAGTTAGGCCTAACCCTAACTATTAAAAAGGAGGAGGGGGCTGTGAAGGTGGCTCAGTAGCAGAGTGCTTGCCTTGCATGCATGAGGCACTGGGTTCGATTCCTCAGCACCACATAAGCAAAAAGAAAAAAGCTGGAAGTGGCGCTGTGGCTCAAGTGGTAGA